AACGAGCAAAACGATTCTCGTCCGTGCGGCTGCATGGTGCACCAGGTGCATTTACATACCAATGGGTTAAGGAATGAGGCGCTCATTCAATTCTTGGGAAGGGATCTAGGCGATGTTTTCAAGACCACGAAGCCTTTTCCTTATAAGTGCTCAGTTTTAAGATCCAACCTTAGGAAGGGGAGAAAAAACACGAGAAGGTGAAACTCGGGTTCGGGGGGGGGGCACGCGATGGCGCGGCGCTCTGTTCGTCTGCTCCTCCAGGGCTTAGTCCACAGGGACAGTTACTCTTTCGCCATTATGTGGCAGTTTCAACCGCGCCATCGCGTGGCCCCCCGAACCCGAGTTTCACCCACAAGAAATTTCTATTTCCCTGGAGTACCTCCCTCCTAGATTTAGTCCTAGGGGCGCGCCAAAATGTTTCATGCCTAGTTCGGCGCAAGCTGGAAAAACGGCTTGGTCACGTTTATGCCGCCACTTCTTCTATCGCCCTAGCCTTGTTTGTTCACTTTCACGGCGTATTCGACGCTTTCGCTGATGCGAGGAGTTGAACTTTGGAAATATCATCCTGCTGTACTGTTTTTTTTTGAATGCATTCCTGAAATACTTAGTGCAAAGCCTACGCTGAAAACAGTTTTTGATTGCTGACTGCTGTTTTTGGCCGATTTTTGCAATGCTGTTTCCCGCCTGGGCGAAGAGTTTTGCCCATGCTTTTGGTGACTAAAAACAGTGTTTTCTAAAACGGAGGCCGAAAATTCCAGTAGTAGTGAAGCTAGTGTCAATCATCACTCTTTGCTGAATTGAAGCGAACTCTTTGAGAATTATCGGCTTACTGAGTTATGAACTGCTTATAGCTCGCGATTGAAGGTGCGTTTTTCCTCCTATTCCAGAGCGCTTTTCTTTGCTTAATAGATTCAATTTTTTAGATACGATTAAATAGGGCTTGTCAAAATGAGTCACCTACTGGTATGTGGGAATGTGTGTCCCGCCTGTTTATTGATAAGATAAGAGTGTTTGGTGAACAGGACGAGGTCAATAGCAGCGTATTCGGATCGATTTCTATTCCGTCGATTTGAGAACTATTCGATCAGAATCTAATTGTGGCTGAAAATTACGGGAAAAGAAACCAGTCAGTAAAGCTTCTATATTCTATTTACGTACTTTTTGCGTACTTAGAACCCGTATTGTATGGCGCTCTTTTAAATTTATCAGTCTTTCATTCGGAGCTTTTTGGGAATTGTGCCTAAGTTCTTCCGACATTCTCGTAGAAAGTTGCCCTGTAGGTGTGCTACAGGTGTTTCCTATTTTCTCGATGGGTACGCAGCTATTTAGCAGTAGTGCAACCTCTCTAAATGGAAAATATATTTGGTTCTTGGTGTCTAGAGTAATTTAGCAGTACGTGTATCCTGCAATGGCTTCCTTTCCTTTCTGTCATTTATTTTGCTACCATAGGATAGCATTTTGATAGTTTTCGCTACCTCCCTGTGCTTTTTTGGGGAGATTTGTTGCATGGCACGGTTTTTCGCAGATATGTCTGACGGGTACGAGCCCTTGACATCTAGCCAGAGACCGATTCCAGAAATGTCATCCGCGGAACGCGAAACTGAAGAAGGTGGAGCTGGTTCCGATCCACATTCACGACTCTCACATACTTGGATCAGAGTAAGTTTGCCAAACCATTTCTGTCGTATTTATAAACTGCCAACCTATTTTTCTTCCACTTTTCTTCGAATTTTATTTTTCACACTGCAGTAGATTGATTTTTTAATACGCAACTGTGATTAAAACGCATATCTCCTGCATATCTTCACTTATCAGCTGCTTAAATAAAACCTCAAGAGCTGTCCATGTAGGGTTGTTCGTATTAGGCCGTATGCTATCCATTTGAGATGGAAATCGTTCGAAAATTTCTTTCAGAACGCCGCATTTGTGGTCCTCCTCATATCTGTGGGTTGGACCGTGATGTGATAGCCTTTTTTCGAGCGTATAAATTCAACCAATACAAGCATTACTCGGAAAACCGCGTATATGATTTAAAAGCACTTCTTCCGCTCTACAATGCACCGTTTGTCATTTTCTTCCCTATTTTAATCATACTCAGATGTAGTTCTCAGAAGCTTTGAAGATCATGTGGGAGAAATCGATATTTCGACTGCTACTATTCTTTAATTTTTTTGAACAACGAATTCACGATGAACGAAGGTCGAAGAAGGGGAAATGGCCTAGTTGGGATACAGGCGGACCTCCTGAGGGTGCTGACCAACGCGCAATTGGCAGCGAAAGATTTGACCTCGGCGCTCCAGCATAGCTCAAACTTGGCGCGGTTGGCCGGTGTACGCCCACCGACCATACTAATCATTCGAAGGGATCCATTTCTCGGTTCTGAGCCATTTCAACTCAGTTTTTCATCTTGCTCGTGAATCACTGACCATCTCTAATTTTAACTTAGCATGGTTGCTTTTAGCAACTAATTCGTCCTCAAAGAGAGAATCTTTGTCAACAATGGAACATCTTTAGAATTCATCCGTTCTGCAATCAAGCACTCTAATTCCAATCAGTCCTACCATTTTCGCTCAATTTTGAACCACTTTATATCGAGCAAATTTTAAAATAATGAGGACTTCGAGAACGGGAGATTTACATGTTTTTCTTCTAATTTTTTTTGCTATATCTTATTCTAGATCCGCTGATTTCCCGCGGAATAGAATCAAAGTCATGAATTGACAAAGTAAACATCACTGACTACTTTGGTTTTTATTTCCGTCTTCAATCATTGTGTTGAATGGAAGCACTACGATATTATGGTCCAACCCAACACCTTCTCTGAAGAACCCTAGGAGCGAGCATTATTTGCACATTCTCCTTTACCAAAAGCTTCTTGATGAACTTTTCTTTGCTGAAAGAGGATCATGGTATCCCATATTCTTCCAGTCACTGCCAGCTTTGTTTCAATGGGCAGCCACTAACTTTCGCTGAATATGGAATTCAATTATTAGGAATAGGAGCCACCTTAAGGAATCGTGTTCTTTGGTGAATAGTATTGCATGCGCTGAAAGTCTGAACGTAGGGAAGTTCTTTGGGTCGTGCTGATGCTGGATATAGACACGTGTGGGAAAGTTAATTTGTAGATGTAGCAAGGGTTTTTTATGGTGTTGCCTAAGGTTGTGGTCCGATCGCTCTCCCCGCAAAGTTTTAGGATATTTTCAATTAGGATATTTTCAAGGGGGTCACTCTGTCTAGTTTTCATCCCACCCCTCTATAACAAGTTAGAATATTCGATAATCTGCATTAGCAATGAACACTCCGTATTCACAAAGCAATACTGCGCTATTGAGTAGATTATTCAAATTTATCGCTGTCCCTTTCGGTTGTGTCATTTTTTCTATTACGCAACGTAGCAGTCGCTGCTCAATCAACAGCAATGTTAGAGTAGGTGTATTTGAAGGAATTCTTGCTTGCTTTTTGCGGAAGAGTAGCCCTAATGTGATACAGAATTTAATTTTCTCCTTTTGCAGCGCAAAAGGCACGCATCTGTATCAAGTGTTGGGTGTCGACAAAAAGGCTACTCCAGAAGATATCAAACGAGCATACCGGAAGTTGGCACTCAAATATCATCCGGACAAGAATCTGGATGGAGACCCGGAAAAAACAGAAATTGTATGTTTTGTTTCACGCTTAACAATTTTCCAAACTTGTTTATTGGGTTGATTGATTTTGCTTCATTGAGGCGAAAATCGATATTACTTCAAAAATTATCTTTATTGGAAAAAGTACTGAGGAAAGAAGTCCCTTTCCAGACCAAGGGTTCTCTGGGTATGTTAATCATACAGTCGTATGCATTGTGTGGTGTGTAGGGTCGTTTTTCGTGCATGAGATTCTCTCATTGATAGTTCTTATTTATCAGAATTTGATGAAGATTAGTTTAAGCATCACCGAGAATCCTGTGGGCTAACGTTTCTTGATATTTTCGCTTAATGGCTTTTGGAATTATTAGCACCGAGTTGTTGAACCTTAGCTGTAACGAAATCAATTGAAAAAAAATTCTAGAAAGTCAACCTTAATGCATTGCGTCCATACATTATACGTAGTATTTCACTCTTCACAAGGGAGGTCGTTCAGGGTGTGCCAAGCTTTTTCAAAATGGTTTCTTGCATGACATTGGGGCACATATGGGGACCACAGAAGCATGGTTCATTTTTCCTGAACGGCCCTCTGAATACCAGTGCCGTAAGGTATGCTTCCCCGAAGGGTTAGGGAACGAAAATCCCTTTAAATTTTTCTCTGTCGTCCCAACTGGGATTGTCCTGATAAAGGGCCTACATTTAATATATGTGTGTTGCTTAAAGTAAACATGCATTGAGAATAAAGAAACAGTGTCGTTCAAAACAAAAAATTTAAAGGGACTTTCGTCCCCGCAAGCATTCGGGGAAGCACACCTTACGCCTCAAAGGGGGTCCCTAGTCACACCTTTTTCACCAGTTTTTCAAAGTCTATTTGTAAGGGTTACTGACGTTCCTAATCATGAATTTGGTACTAATTATTCATGCTAACTCCATTTTGCGCGAATTTTGAAACGTCAACTCGAAATGCAAAAATTTGTCACCACGAGGAATCGAACTAGGGACCCCTTTTCTGGTATTCAGAGGGCCGTTCAGGAAAAATTAACCATGGTTCTGTGGTTCCCGCATCTGCCCCTATATCATGCAAAAGACCGTTTTCAAAAAGCTTGTCACGCCCTGAAAGACCTTCCTGGTAAGTTCTGTACTGACATCAGTGATAGTTAAATGAATGTGTAGCGTTATAGATTGCGCTGAGGCTGTCTCCAAACGTAATAGCTATAATTTATTCCTAGTCATATACACCACATGCTTGTACACGTCATGTGGAGATTTTTGACCAATAATTCTGAAGGGTCAGAAAAGGAACTCTTAGAATGGCCTTTATCGTCTTTTGTCCTGGTGTTTGTTCAGGAGAAATCAGCTGCTGGAGCGTTTCAAATTTTTGTGGGAGCTTATGGTGATAAGACTCTATCATGCTATCTATGGATATGGTTTGCAGCAATTTAGACGTGACGATTTTGACATCAATGGCAAATGCCCGCTGCAAGCCGGAAAATTCTATGGCAATAGATTTGAAAACTTGCAATGCTGAGAGAGTTGCTGACGGCTTACATAATAAGCTATCAAAATAGCTATAGCTTTGTTTCGACAGCCGATGGCTTATTCAAAGGGGATAAAATTGGCTGCAACACATTTGCACCCCTCCAACGGTCGACTTGGCAACTGAGCAAATTGTGAATTTCCTCGAAGAAATACTTTCCTCTTACTCGAATATTATGTCGCGCACAAGCCTCATTCGAAGTCCTTATGAGCTTAGACATTTTCCAACTTGCCATCATATCGGAGCCCTCTTTCCGATCTGACTTTCTTTAACCCCTTCACGTCGTGCGGCTCGCCAGTTTTTTGTTACAATTACATTTGTTGGGATTGCGAATGGTAAGAATTGTCTTGAGGAAGACGATCGATATTCAACAAATGACAAGGAATACAGTTAGCAGCAATAGCTTTGTTCTCTGTTCAAACTTAGCAGAGGTGTTCACTTCGGAATACATTTAATAATATCACTCCATTCAGCGACTATAGGGCTGGAAGCTGGTGTAGTGGCAAGTGGTTAGGCTTACCACGCGAGCGGTCCGGGGATCAAATCCTGGGTCGTGAGTCGCCCGGGCCAACCAAGCCTTCCATCCCTCCGGGGTCGGTTAATTGGTACCAGACTTGTCTGGGAGGATAAAAACACTGACTTGTACATCGGCTGGCCCCCGCAAGTCATTGTATAGGCCACATCGCATTCAAACGCCACTACGAATGTACAAATGGAAGTAGAATGCGTGCCGCATCCCAAAAAGGGATTGATCAACGGCAAATGCTTTATCCTTTTTTTTTTATTTAATTCACGATTAAGGTTATTTGTGTTTTCCGTAGGAGTGCAAGAGAAAGTAAAGAAACAGATATCAAGTCCTTCCTACAGATAAGCAGCCTTCACTAATTTAATTCTGTCAAAATAGAGAAAATTACTACTCGTTCCTCCATCATTCTATGTGAAAGTTTTGGAGCGTGTACTTAAGGAAATGTTTCTTCTTTCAGTTCAAGGAAATTAACTATGCGCATGCAGTGTTATCAAATCCGAAAAACGACAGGTACTTCCTTTGTTATCGTCTTATTTGTGCACGGTTTTTCCATCATTTGCGATCTTACATGAAGGTTTTCTTCAATAGGTTTATGATGAAATGGGAGACGCTGGGCTGAAATTGTTAGAACAGTTCGGAGAAGATGAAACTGTGCTACATTGGTTGTTGAAGCCATGGTTCAAGGTTAGTGATTCAGTGTGATTCGGTGTTTCAAATAGTGAACAACTAAACTAAACTTACTTTTTTGAATTCGATCCTGTACCTGAAATAGATTGCTGTCTGACACTTCTCCTTCAGTGCAGAATTTTAGCAGCCGAAAAGGGCAATTCAAAAAAAAAGGTTCTGTGCTTATAAGGTCAAACTTACCGATTTCGCTGAAATCATCTTTGCGGCAAACCATAAGGGCACGAACTACGATATAATGCTTAAGGCATAGAAAGCCGATATGCCTCGAATAAAAGGGATGGTATATTCAATATTAGGATGGTTATATCAAATTTCAGTGGGTATTCTTCGGATTTGGCTTGCTCACATGTGGATTCTTCTGCTGTTGTTGCGGTTGTTTATGCTGTTGCAAATGTTGCTGCAATTTCTGCTGTGGAAAATATGTTCCAAAAGTTCCAGAGGTAAGTTCGTGTGATTTGTTGTTTTCCAAACATTCGATGAAAAGCACATCGATTGAAACTAAGCAAGCCTGTGGGTCTTTGAAATTTTTTTCCTAGTTGCGTCGCATGGTTTTTTCTTTTCAGTTCAAAAGGGAAGAGTTTTCGCAAAAATTTTTGTGTTTACCTGCGATATGAAGAAAAAGATTTTATGGCTTATTCCGACATACCACAGTAGTATTTCTGGCCCCTGACTTATCCCCTTAGCCGTCTCTTCACATGTGTAATGGTCTGCGAAATGAAACGTAATTCACTTTTCGAATTTCATCAGTATGACATAGCCCTATGTAGGGCAATATTTTTGTTGTATGATGAAATTGTCCGTCATTTTCGGACACGATCAATCGTTGCTTTCGCATTTTCTAGAAACTTGACGACCTCCTCCCCTTTAAGTGGGTCTCGATACGTTCCTAACACCACCATCCGTCTTAGGAGCTCAATATAGATCCGCCCACTCCATAGCTTCCAACATCAGCGGCCTGTTGTCTATATTATAATCTGAGACCTGCCGACACAGCCCATCTTTTTGCCGTCGAAATGACCGGGAGCGGTGAAAGTGGAGGGGGGGGAGCAATAATACTGACTATCAGAAACCCGTTCCACTATATTCCCATCAAATTCCGGAAATGCGACCTCCGTTCGCACTCTTCCTAAAGTGGCTATCCTTGCTTAACCCCAAATGCCATCCACCTCCCCCAAAATCGCAAGTGCTACCTCTTCTTCGAATACTGCGAACGGACCGTTGCCGGCCTGGTCGCGATGTCTCTTGCTGTTGGTCATTAAGCATTCGTGTTTCTTTCAGCTTCCCATGAACAAGAATTTTTTGTGCGTTTTAGCTGCTTCACTCAATAAATATTGTAGTTTGGTCGTCTTTTTGTCTTACAGGGGCTAGTAGGCATAAGTGTTCCCAACTGAAGGTAGATTAGCTAGTGATTATGATGTCCTTACCCTTTCGGCTTGTGTTCTTATGCTGGGTTATCTGAACTCTGAACAGCTTTCCATACGGATAAGTGCTATTGCGACTTCTGATAGTTTTTTTTTTCATATAGTGGGTGCCGTAGCATGGCAAATTTGTCGTAGATCTTCAAGCTTTAAAGCTGCTGATATATTTCGATTGTTCTGTTGTGATAAAAGGACCATTTCACGAATAGGCTGTCGGTCGCCCCAAAACGAACAGCCGGACTTGCTAGAAACAGTATTTTTCCGTGTCATTAGAAATTCTAATAGTTCAAACTATCGACATCTATTCAGGACTTCGATCCAACAGATATGGATGACTCTGATGAAGGTGAAAGGGGACCTACAACAACATCACCTAAGAGTGGGATTGAATGTGATCACTTCACAACCAACAGGTGACTCTAGACAGCCAAAAACCTCATCGCCAAAAGGACCAAATGGCGAGGAACCTATTCGAGTAAGTACATTTCCTATCTAAAACTTTTTTTTCGGAATGTCTTATACTCCCAGAAATGGTGCAGTTCGATTTTCAATAGATTTTACCATTGCACTAATTCTTCATCCTTTTTTTTGATTTTGCTTTTGTGATCTGAAATAATAACTATTTGAAAGCTTCAAAAATTCACAGATGGCAAAAGTAATTCCCGCATTTATATCGACGTAGCAACGAGACTTTTGTGTGAAGCCAAACATTTACCCCAGGCTGTTTACCGTGGTTAATGGAAAAGGTAGTTAACACATTCACATACGGCCCCCTTTCCCATTTCGGTCGCGTGGGACGGACGCGATTTTGTGGGCGCCGCCGCCTAAGCCTCACATCCGCGGATTTTGCACTGTAAATGAACAAAAACATGAATGTCACAAAATAATTTGTGCAATCTCCAGTGCGTAAAAGAATTTAAAAGCGTTTAAACTCAAATACGAGATTTACTCACGTATCTTTACATTCCTAGCGCATGGCAAGCGATTATCAGCTGGCAGCTCGTATGGGCTGCCATTATCCCAGGAGCTCATGCTGTTGGCAGCTCACATGGGCGGCCATCGGCGTGAATGTGTTGAATTGTTAAGAACAATTCCGTCCGTTTTCTTTTTTTCGTCCTTGATAGTTTTCGTGCATTAAGACTTGCGCCCTCTCCGATGGTAAACAAAGCTGCGCCATAATGTTTTTATTCAAGATGGGAATAACAGTGTGCGTGATTTTGATGCATTCATTCTGACTCATTTTGAAGGTTTATCAAACGGAGCTTCCCAAAATATGGGAAGGAAATGTAAACTTTGCATTAGCAACGCTTTCTGGGATCGATTGAAGAATACATACGGGAGGCAATAAAAAAGGCATTTTGTCTCCAGACTCAAATGGATTTAATCACACTTTGCTCAGCTCAAAGCGTGTGCTCCCAACTTAGAATTGAAGAGCGCATTTCATTTCATAAGAAAATCTTCATAGTGGCCATCTACGTGGACGGCATCAGAAAAGTTTGCCCCGGAAACATGGTGCTCTGGTCGAGCTCAATGGGGTTCTCGACTGATCGTGTACCGTTACGACGGGTTCCGAAGGGCGGGTTCCGAGGGGGTTTGCATAGTTAGAGCTAATGTCCCTAGGAAACTATCCCACGTTGAATCGATCCAAGAAATTATGTAAGAGCTTCAGGCTGACAGATGACGTCATATTCTGAAGACGGTGAGGGTAGTGAAGGAGGGCCTGCGTACTTATAGAGGGACATTTAGGGAATATTTTGCTGAGGAACTTCCGTCAACGACGGCAATCTCTGCGAAGAAAAAAGGCCGAAGTGCGACCTGGGCAAAATGTCTTTTTTTTTGCCCCCCCCCTCCCTGTATATTCACCAACACAAGTTGCGTCTCAATCCTACGTCGTGTTGTATTATGTGAACGTTACCAAACTCCGTGACTGGTAGATTAAATTAGCACAACATTAAATGAAGAGGCTTTTTATGCTTTTCAGCCTTCTTTCCGCTTAGGCTTGATAGACCTTTCAAGGTTGTTCTTTTCATTTTTGTGAATCATCTGACATAACATCGACAAATACGGTACGGATCAATTGACTTCACTGCCTGAGCTTTTTTTTTTTTCGCACGACTTCCATCAAGCTTTTGAGTGGGAAGGGAAACAGGCTGTTCTGTGATCAAAGCAATACCGCTAGATCGAATTTTTGCGGTCAAGGCGGTCAGTAATCAAGTATTTCCGCTGAGCTTTATCGTCGAATTTTCCATAGTTGCTAAAGAGAATCCTATTTCAGCCAGCTGTGATTGCCATGCCGCCACCTCCTGGTTATGGTTCAACGGAAACAACGAGTACTTGATGGCCATTGTCTTTCATTTCTTCATAGCCGCTATTTTCTATGCTTCTCTAACTAATACCGTGATCCACGATGGTTGTGTCGTTTACTACACGAGTTAGTAGCTCGTCTACTACGTGTCAACTCGATGTATTCCTAAAGGTTTTCTCTCATTTCTTCATGTCAGACGTTTCATTTCTCAAGACATTCTTGCTCACCACCGCTCAGCACGTCGTCCCCTTTTTCAGCACTATTAACTTGTAGTTTGTTAGCTTGAGCATTTTCCAGTTTGTACGTTAGTTTTATTTACTTTGTTATCATCCGCCCGTCAGACGTAGGAAGTGACCATTGATCCATGCAGTGTGTGTGACGCATTTCGTTCTTTTCTCTAGTTGCGGTATAATTTTAACTTGACGTTAGTTCTAGTTTCAGATTTGTACGAATTCACTCGACTTTCTTTTGTTTTTGCTTGCATTGCTCAACAGCCGAGGAAAACTTGCTCTTTTGCACTATTCTTTTTCACCGAATTTCATTTGCTTTAATGCTTTCAGTTTTAGTTGATTTATATGCACAATGCATGTTTCTGAAGGGCTCCTGTTCAACGCTCTCGAAATTTCCTTTGTACTCTTGAAGCACTTGTATGAATTGTACGTTAATCACCTCTTTCTATTATTACCCTCTATCCTTGGCGTGTATTTATCAACGATTTTGCTGTCGGTGGCAAAGATTCCATATCCTGGTTGCGATTTTATGTGATGCTATGTTTTATAGCGCCTTAGTTGCAATGTTTTCAATTCTTTTGCATATACATATATTAATTATGTTTCTTTGACGAAGCAATAAGATCGTTTTCGCTGATCACAGAGTGATCCAGCGGTGCTCAGCCCGGAGAATGTGTGTAAAGTCTTTAGGTTATGTAAGGCAACCTCTGAAAAAAATCACCTAGGATTTATTCGTGCCGAGCCCAGTAAGTAGAAGCAGTCCTGTCTGTCTCTAGTATAAGCATCAGGTCACCAGGTAACTGCACGACAGCTTAAAGGCAAAAGTCGGGCTCAATAGGGGGTATTATGGCGATTGAAACTGAGTATAGAGATGCGAAGTGGAACGACAGTGGAGAAAAAACGAAAAGAAACCGTCGACAAGGCCGAAACGAAACCCCTTTCCCACTAGCAGTGAAGGAGGCTGGCTTGGGAGAGAGGCAAACGAGTTTTCGGACATGCCGCCATTGCTGGCTCTGTGCTTGTCGTTGATACG